CAAAGACTATGTAAATGTGATATTGGGGGGGCATCTGAATGCTTTCTGAACACTGTACACACTGTAAAATGAAAGCTGGAAACATTCAGACTTTAGTGTGATTCAGTGGTTCTCAAGCTTTTAACAGGCTTTGTCTCATAAAGGATCCCTCCCTACTCTGATGGGAATTTTTATTAATGTCTTTGACTGAGAAAATACATTTGAGGATTTTACTTTCAAGTACACACACACAAAAAAACAACTTGTAGCCCTCCCCACAAAGACAAACGGGTGTCAGAAACACAGACAGCTGATGTTCTGCCACAGGTGGTGCCTGACACAAACTGTGTGATTTACTGCTGGTCACTCTCTCTACTGCGGGTGTGTGTTTATGTGTGAGTGGACTGATGTGAGAGTTCATGCTGGTGTGGTAAAAACGCTGACTGCTGATCCCTGACGATTATTAATGTGCAAGTCAGCGAGACGCAAAATTGTCATCCTGTTGTCACCATTACAGATCTGCAGCCACAGCAAGTGTTTCTATTTTAACTGGTTGCTTGAATTTCAGCCATATGTGTGTGGGATATATCACATGTCCATCATCAAGTGAAGTCCTGTAAGCTACTGACACACAAAAGGGCTGAAAGAAGCTTATCAAAGGTGAGGCTGAATCAGTTAGTCTACAAAACTGAAAGGACTATTTCTTTATGTAGCTGAAGGAGATCCTCCTCCTCCCTGAATTGAATAAGTGCACAAACCACGACTGTGTGTCGTTGTGGTTTTAAACTAGCCGAAGGGAAAGACCTGACTCTATAGTTCTTGTAGACTGGAAGTGGAAGGTGGCAAATCCCAAAACATAACAGATTACACATTCTATTATCCTCTTCTAGGACTTCCTAGAAATATCATTATCAAACTGTATGTAGTGGAAAGGACAAACAGACTTTTACCACAACATTAGAGGCAGCTATAGTTTGCAATGTTGCCTCTGAGATGCAGGTTCTTCGTGCTAAAAGCCTGTGTTTTGTCAGTCTGTTCATGAAGGGTCTTGTCGCTGTGTTCTTCTGTGAGGATGGAGTCCCCGTGGGTGCGTACGTGTCGAAACACTAGCACCATCCATCCTAAAATCCGGAATCAATACAAGTCATCCACTCGAGTGACTGAGCTGTGACTGACTCACCGATGATAAATGAACCGTCAGCACAACGCCCACTCCTCACCAGCTCTGTTATTCTGACATCTAACACAATGAAGCAGTAAATGTCATTAGATCTGAAGCAAATGAAGCGTACTCTCACTGCAAACTGCTCAAAGGCAAAAGGGCACCATCCAAATCCTGATGCAAGCAGCCTGATCTGAACTCAGTTTTGCTGCATCAGTTTTCTTCTGCGCTCATTAGGTCTCTAAAGTTCACCCCAGACTAATATGCCAGTGAACTCTGTCTGCCATCTAGTGTGGAGACCATGAAATGATCTCCACAACATTACCAACATTCTGCCAGTGTTAAAAAACATCTTTGTATTTGGGTACTGTAATTCTTTTCCACACTTACTTCACTAAAATATTTTTCTAGTACCTTAGGTGCATTGGTACTTATTAGTCCTAATCCTCTGAGCTCTAAGACAGGGGTGGGGAACTCCAGGCTTCAGAGGCCAGTGTCTTGCAGGTTTTAGATGTGTCCTTTATCCAATATAGCTGATTTAAATTCCCAAATTACCTCTTCAACATGTCTTGAAGTTCTCCAGAGGCCTCATAATGAACTAATCATTTAAATCAGGCATGTTGACCCACGGTGATATCTAAAACCTCCAGGACACCGGCCCTTGAGGCCTGGAGTTCCCCACCCCTGCTTTAAGACATTAAGTCATAAATGGAACCCTAAGTTTTTAGGAAAAACGTGAGAAGATTTAGATGTGTTTCAGTTAAAATTATTATTTTCTTTGCTCCCTGGTTGTGAAGACTTGAGAGAACAATTTCATAAAAACAAAAATTACATACTGTGATAGCCCTGGGTAAGAATTGGGGTTTCTTCGACCTCAGAGGATTCACAGTGACTGTTAAGGTTGTTTTCTTTGTGTTAATTTGCAAAACATTATTTTGTCATTCTTGGTCCATTTGCTACTTTGACTTTATTTCTTGTGTGTTTAATTCCTTCAAGGTTTCCATATATGTTGCTTCCTATATCCTTTGCCCTCCTCTGTTTTCCTTTATCTGTCATCTTGTCAGTCTTTGTCTCCGTGCAGTTGTATCTTTTTCCTGTTTGTTTCTCTGGGCATCAGTTTAGTTTCCTGAGGTTTTTTTTTTTTTTTTTTGCTGTGCTTCAATTACAAGATATTTTTCCTGCTGCTATGCTTTTTTTTCTTAACCAGTTAGGTTAAGAAAAAAGCCTAACTGGTTCTTTGCCACTAATCTTAACAAATTAGTGGCAAAGACCCAGAGATTCTATTTCATGTAGTTGGGTTCACTTCACACCCCAAGTCTTTGACATTTACGTGATAATAGTGTGAAGGTATAACCCTCTTTTTATGTGTTATGTGTAATGTGTAAATCAAAACAGAGTGCAGTCATGTGTAAATAATTTAGAAACTCTACTTAACTGATAAAAAGGAGTAGTACATTAGTACTCGTTTCTCGTTCCTGTCCTTTGTGTTTGTAATTAATATGTATCACTCTGGATGAAATTGTTCACTTCTTTAAAACTTTGTGTTGTGATTGTGATTTTCTCTTTTAATTTAACAGCCACATTTAAAATGATCACATATGTTTAAAATATAATAATAATTTCTCATTTTCAACATATAATATTTTTTACTTTAAATTTACATGTCCTCATTTTTTTTTTCTCATTTCTTCTTCTTATTGTTATTTGTATTATTATTACTTAAGTACTTTACTTTGCTGCCGTTCAATATTCTAAATATTTGGGGTGTATGATTTTAAATTTTGATATACATATTTTGTTATTTTAGTCGTCTTTAACCACAACCACTTGGAGGCGACATAAAGACATTCCCACGCTTTACATCACAGGAACATTTCCGGGTCTAGGCCTCTGTACAATTTCAAAACAAAAGCAAAACAAACCATCCCGCCTACTCAGAAAAACGAGAGGCAAGATTTACGTTACTGAACTAGTGTATGACATTCCATAAAGTGTACAGTGTCTTAAATAAATAGAAAAATAAATAAACAAATTAAAAACTGCTCTATATGACTCTGCGTAACTGCTTACTTTTGCTTTGTTGAATTCGAAATATCTATTTACTTTGTCATGTGTTATGTTATTACTTTCAAAAATTTAAGTGTATGCTGATTTTATTTGATTGCATTTAATAAAATTTCAGGTTTGTGCCTTATCAACAAACGTGTTTGCCTCTTATTGCCTTTTATACCATTCTGCTTATTTGAGCTATTTGTTATGTGTTTGCTTATAACTTAATCTTTTAAAACCACTGTTTAAAAAAGGCTCATTGAGGAAGTATGTTATATCAATTTATTCATCTTGCATTTCAGGTCAGCCTATATCATGTGGTCGTATCTTGATGAAACATTAATTTTGAAAGCTTAAATTAAATGTAAACGTTTTAAAACTTTGTAATATTTCATTGCTGGTGCTGTTTTTAAATATATAATCATATCTTTCTGACTAAACTCACCCCAAGACATAAGAGTTAGATGATTTCTATTAGTCTACATTATTTTATTTTCTCTCTGCTCCATTAGTGACATTGATTTCCCTCAGTGTTGGATTTTTCTTTTCTATGGCCTGTGTTCACAGCACATAATTTTTTTTTGAAGGCCCTTATTTATTCAGAGGGAATTTTGCCACCTTCAGATGAATGAAATGACACACTCAAACAAGCATACGGAGACCCCCCCCCCCCCCCCCCAAAAAAAAAAAAGAAAAAAGAAAAAAGAAAACAAGCAAAAATATCAGGTCCCAATCAGAGTTTCAGGCCTAAAAGATCAAAGGTCTAATCAGGTCTAGGATATTTATCAAGTCAGTGTTTCAGTTCGTTGTCTCTTTTAATAGCTTGTAAGGGAGCACTGCTCGATTACGGTACTCTAAACTTTTTTTGTGATTTTTCAGTAAGCTCAAGTCTTGTGCTTTTATTTTGAATGTGCACACCGGATATGGGTTCGGCGCCGTGGTCTCTTCGGTGTGATTGGTTGTACTCACGTTGCTGCTGATGTGGTGTTCCGAAGTTAGCAAACGCGAACATCCGATTCAAACTTGTTTTCTGCTTTTGTTAGTATTGTAGCTTTGTGAAAACAATGCCTTACTATCAGACGTGGGAGGAGTTCGCCCGTGCAGCAGAAAAACTGTATCTGACAGACCCAATGAAGGTAATAACACTTTATTTAATAAGTACCATACTGGATAGCCTGTTAGCTAGATGGCACGTTAGCAACGTGACTGTGCTGACTGTTGGTTCAATATTTTTTCATGTTAAATTCTGAACATTTTTGTTATGTTTTTTTTTTTCTTTTCAGGTCAGAGTGGTTCTAAAATACAGACACTGCGACGGAAACCTGTGCATTAAAGTGACTGACAATGCTGTGGTAAGTACACCGAGGAAAAAACGTGGAATTGTTTGTACCAGCCAGTGAAATATGAGAGGTTATCTTGAGAAACCTCTTAAAACTCGTTTTTTGGACGAGCAGCCAGAAACTTCTTTCTTTGTTTTCTGAGTTTTTTGGTACTAGTTTGTGTGAGGCTAAATCGTAACGTGTAGCGGAGTAACACAAGTAGGCTAGCAGCTGAGAGGTTTTTTTTGTTTAATAAAGCCCCTGTAATATTTTACATTTTGTTGTGTAATAAAGTGTGAGCAGTGGGAGGGGGATACACCATTTTAGCTGTTTTTCTTCTTCCTGTGTTGTGCTGGATTTTTGTATACTTTGTACTTTTTCCGTGTTCATTTTATGGTAGAAATATTAGGCTTACTTGACAGTGATATCCAATGTCTAATGGCCTGGCTGCATTATATTCCAGATATCCCAAATTCTTCACTTCTATGATTTTGTTTGGAAGGTTGGCGGGTAAACTCATCTTTAGAGAGGACTACAGATCTATAATATTGACATCTAGCCCTATATTCACAAACTTTCCTAATACTTAGAGTAGATCCCATTGTCAAAATGCTAAGAAAGTTCTTAGATTTAATTTCGTTTTAAAATCATTTATCCATAAATTCATATAAAATCAGCGTAAAGGCTTAAATGGTTCTTAGGCACAGGAGAAAATGACAGTATGTAGATTATCATGCCACCTTGCCCACTTTTTCTTTAAGTGAGGTAATGGCATATGATTAATTCAGTCTCAAATCATTGTGAGCCTTCTGCTCAACATCTCCATTTAGCATGTTTGTGCACTTTGAAATTTGCACTTTGAAATTTGAGGCAATGTTTGAACATGAACATCTCAAACTATTAAAACTATTAAAGATAAAAGCTGGAAATTTTCATTTTGATATTTCTTAGTACAGGATTGAAACAGACTCTGTACTTTAGGACACACTTTTTTTTTTTTAAAGTGCATTGGTTATAAAAATATAAAAAATGAATAAATTAAGCACTTAAAGTGCCATATTTTAGCACACACTAATAATACAAATATCACATGGCAAAAGCCACTGAGCAACAGCTTGTGAGTGATGTCTAGCTGTATTTCACAATAATACAAAATAAAACACGTAGAATACTTTTTAACTTTCCTGATCCCTGCTTGCTGGTAGGAGTTTTAAATGTAATCTTAATTACAAGACTTCTTCAGGGCGATAAGTCTCAAAGTGGTAGGTAGAATTGATCTTGAAAAGTAAATATAGCAAAACAAGTAAAAGTTACAAAAAATGGCTTAGTAAGTTATTCCACATAAGTAGTCTTGCAAAGCCAAGTTGCCATGTCGACGTGGCATGACTTGCAGTCTGATGTATGAGTATAACCCAGCCCTAATCTTAATGCCACAACTGCCACAAGCATTCGATATACTGACTGCATGAATGAACGCTGCAAAAGTTTGTGTGTGTGCGCAAAGATGGATAGATAGCATAATCTGAAATATGAGACTGCTTCTTGACCATGCTGCTTACAACGTGGGTCTTGAAAAATGAAGGATATGCATATATTTAACAAAATAATGATCTCAGTTATAAGTACTTCTCAATGTGAAGGTTTTTATTTATGTATTTATTTTGTATTATTATTAATGTGTGCTCATATATGGTACTTTACAGGACTGCTTATAGTTTTAAACTAGCCAGTACTGGCATTTGTTTTTATATATTTCAGTCACAAATTACTGGTCCTGATTCAGCTCTGTGTAAAGAAAAACAAGTGAAAATTTCAGGCTTTTACCTTTTTGAGATAAAGTTTTGAGAGAGCCATATTTTATTATTGCCTGTGGAAACAAATGACTTGAAAGTGGCTAGACAAGCCTTTACTTGGGCCATGAAATTTGTATCAAAATCGGAATGACCCTTTGTAAATCATTGCATACAGTTTGTATAAAGTAATTAATGGATCTTTGGAATGGAATTAATATCTTTAATTTTTGGGTTGTGATACATGGTGAAGACTGCTTTGAGTCTAGTATTATTCATATGAGAATATAAGTGGGGCTGTGTGGTAACCAACACATCAAGCACAGCTGTGTCATAGTGCGTGTTGTTTGGTTGATGTTTTCTAGAGATGCACCGGTTGACCTGCCAGGGACCTGAATTGGTTGTTTTCACTGTAACTTTACAGCAAAAATGTCCCTGGTTTGAATCCTGGCTAGGTTCATTCTCTGTGGAGATTGCATGTTCTCCCTGTGTCTGTGTGGGTCTTTCCTGGGTACTTGGTGCTGGCTTAATTAGTTGTAGTGGTGGGGTGTTCCTGGATGTTGCTGAGCTCTCTTAAGGCTCACATCTCATGGTTGTAAACCCAACCCCAGCTCCAATGTGTTGGAATATTGTTGTTGATAGTGGGTCTTGCTCAAGTGGAAGTCTGTGGTGCTGCTACACAAGGCTACAAAGCATAACAATGACTTCTGTGACCAGTTACAGTCTAAGAAATTGAAGTTTGGATTTCATCCATGAGATAAGAAGATGCTGATTGTGTTCTTGTCACATAATTATAGTAAGATTTATTTTAAAAAGGCATTGAGTGTAGAACTGTGTACACATGCCAAAATAATGTAACTCTGTATCAAGCAATTATTGATTTACAAAAAGGTGTGCACCACCAAAAGAAAGCAACAATGTAACTCTATCATTTAGGTGACTCCTTAATCACTACTATAAAACAGTAAAAACCTGTAGTTTTCATGCTGTAACTGCCGTCATTTGGTGTCTTCTCCATCTTTACAGTGTTTACAATACAAGACAGACCAGGCCCAGGACGTGAAGAAGATTGAAAAGCTCCATGGGAAGCTGATGAGACTCATGGTGTCCAAGGAGACGCACAGTGGTGCCATGGAGACGGACTAAAATGCTCTTGAAGAGCTAAAGTTTTGGAGCTCTCGGACTGAGTTCAGAGGACATGGTGGTGCTGCTGAGAGAATAGAAACATCAGAGTGGAACGAGTCTGTAAAACGGGAATGTGGGGAGCTGGATCTGGCTGCTTACACTGGTTTAATGCTGCCAGAGAAGCTATAGATATATACTGTATATATTTTCAGGATTTGTTTTTTAAGTTTCACTGTCCACCTTTCCTTTACAGGCATTATCATATCCATAATGGTGTAAGTTAAATGTAAGATCTGTGTAGGGGTGGGACAACATTAGCTGCTGTGTAAGCAGCTTTGGCACCTTGAATTCTTTAAAGACATTTCCATAAATTTTTAGTTTTGAAGGGGAAGAAAAAGATGGGCAATGAAGATAACTTGTCTTTTTTTTTCATCTTTCTAGCTATGTCAGATTCAGTTTAAGCCCAGTTTATTTTGATTTTTCTCCCCCCTCATTGTGCCACATGAATGAAACAGAGCTTTCTGATTTCCCAGCAAGGGTGTGGAGAAAACCCAGTGTTTCCACACTGACATGTTCAATAAATGGTTGTTTACCCCAGTCAGCAATATAGCTCTTTTATTCATCTCATTATGGATTATATTGTGTTCAACAGTCATACATCAACGTCATTATGCCAGACAGCTTATATGACATTGGGTTTGAATTAATGAGATAACATGTCCTTTATTTAGCCCAAGCAGTTAAAATAACTCAAATGCAACAAAATCAAAAAGTACAGTTTTATGTAGCTCAGTCATAATACATGACCAAACAAATCTCAGTCAAAGTAAATAAACATATAATATAAATGCTGATTTAGAAAAACAAAACAAATTTAAGCAATATTATCTAGCAAAGCAAACGGAATTAAAAAGGGCTTACTAATTTAAACGATCACCTGCGTGTCGGTCAACATCCTGTCCTCAGATGGACATGGATCATTTAGCGGCCTTCTGTGTATTCCAGTAAAGCTGAAAAAGTTATGTTTGTTTTAATTAAGTTTTTCCCAGGAAGAAAAAAACCCTTCATGAATTATGTAACTTTTTTTATTCTTGGTCCAATTATTTTTCAAGTTCGTTTTTACTTTTTCATTCATAGTGATCAATATGAAAAAGGTATTACAGAAGCAAAAATAAAAATTTCTATTTGTCATATTTAAAGCTGGAGTGAGTGTTTAATGCAGGCACATAAACGCAAGGATGACTTCAAAGTGAGCCTTTAATTGCTGAAATTACCAGTACATTCACAAAATCCAAACAATAGAAATAAGGAGCCTGGGGGCAAGTCCAAAGAGAATAAGGAAAGCTGCACATGAAGAAAAACAGGAGTATACAAACCTCTTGTTGAAAGACAAAATAGAGACAATGATATATGATAATATGTCGGTTTCTAAAATTATAGTTTTGTGAAATGAGCACGAGAATATACTGAACCTTCTTCCTTGTACAGACCCCGGATCTGAGGTAGGATGGCAGCTGAAGAACGGTCCCAAACATGATGTGCTCTCCCCAATGAGTGGAACTGGGGATGAGGTTGTTGGAGAATGCTCCTAATGTAACAGTGGATGGTGTCCTGGGGATCTTTTTCCAGATCTGGATTAGCGTGTCACTGAGCTCCTTGAGCTCTCTAAGATGCAAATGTCCAACAGCCTAAGCCACCAATAAATCAGTCATGCAGGATGACGTTCTCCACATAAAAAACAAACTACATGTGATTGATGTGTTTTGTTCCTTCATAGATCAACTTTGATCTGTAAATCGTGAATTGATTGTAATTTGTTTTTCAGTATCTCTGTACCTATTGTTCTTTTCTTTGCTGGCTCCCTGTTGTTGAGTTGTCTTCTTGTAAATATTCAGGAATATTCATTCATTTTTCATTTGTAGTCAAAGTGCCTTTTTTTTCTAACTAACTACAAACATGTGTATTTGGGTCTTCCCTGTCAACATTTTCATCAGTAATACAAATGCTGAAAGTTACGTTTATCATAGTATAACCACACGTGCTCGCCAAAAATATGAAGATCTTTATTAAAGGTCCGTCCATTTTTCTTCTGCGTATTCAATTCAAGGTGGCAAGAGTCCAACCCAGGTGTCATTGGGCAACAACAGGGCACAGGTTTCACGTCTGTCACCAGGTTGACACATAGAGAAAGACAACTATACACACTCATATTCACAAATTAGAATCACATTCCTTTGGGAAGAAGAGGAACGCACAGAGAGAGCCCAGCTACTCACATCTGCACAGATACACTCCAGGTTAGCAGATTCAAATCCAGGACCTTCTTGCTCTGAGGCAACAGTGCCAACCACTGCACCACATGCTCCCCTACAAAGTGAACTTAAAAAATACAGCAGGAATATTCAGAAATGTTTTATGTTAATAGATAACTGATGGCTGCCTTTCGTCAGAAAGAACTTTTAAAAAATTATGCAAACCTTGCCTTACTTAAGATGACCGAGTTAGGGCGAGTAATTCACTGTGAGTAGTAGTCGTAGTGACGTTGTTGTTTTTTCAGGAAGCTCTACGTTCTGTTTTTTGTGCTTTTACGTCCATATAACGTTTGACGTTTTTAATTTGAAGGTCGAAAACGGAAGTTCAAAACTTTTCGCCCCTAGCTGGTTTGCATACGCAACGTGCGCTGTGACAAACTTCCGTCATGAATTGGACTACAAATGTCCCCAGATCGTGTAGTTATTTTCCCAGTCAGATGGATTCTGTGAGCAGCCTTTCTCTGAACCACGGCCACATTTAGGAAAAGTTGAGCATAAATGCGACTTACACCAGGTTTGTGTCAAAAGCTGTTTCAGTGTCGTTTCAACAACTGTGTTCATCAAGTTTTGCGAAGACGATGCGTTTACAGTTTGAACCAGAGTGAGAGAAGCCAGCCAGCCGGCTTGAAATTCAAACTTAAGGATGCGTCGGTTGTCGTTAACGTCACCACTACCGCGTACAAACGTACACTAGCGTTAACTAGTTTAGTTATTTTGCCTAACATTTAGGTTCCTACGAACAAAGGAGCTGTTCTTCCCATCTTTGAAACGTTAGCATCTTGTACGTGTGGACTTGAGTGTCGCATTTTGCCTTTAACAGATTATAGTTGGGCGAGGCTCCGTCTAATCTGTGGAGAAACAAGTTCAGCTGAGAGGTGCTAGTCACACTTGTCAACTACGTATGTTTCGCTGAACGTGACAACATGTCTTAAACTGTGCACGTGTCGTAAATATAGTATCACTCTTATAATAAAGCGGTGTCCAGATGGCACTACATATGTTCTTGGGTATTTTTCATAGATTGTATACAACAGAGGTGTTGTGCCCGGGCCATCTGACAATGGAACTAGCACCAAGATGGTAATTTAAGGCCAGCTATTAAAGTTTAGGTATTTATGTCCAGATAAACTGGATAGTAAAAAATGCAAATGCATATAAAATATCTGTTTAACAAGTGTAATGATTCTAGTACGTAATAGAGACCTTATGACTTGTAATATGCCACTTCAAAAAGGTCACTGTAGTGTTTTCCAGGTTCAAAATGAGCACTTTAGTCCGCATGAACAGTGGTTCGGGTAATAAGTCTGTGTGACATTATTCCATTCTATGTCCTGCTATTTCTGGCCCTTTGGGAAAAACAAAAATTTCATTTGTCAGGGAGTAAATCAAACCTCAATCTGTATCAGATCAAAGAATAACCAGAAAAAAAGAATTTAAGGCAAAAAGTAAAGAAGAAAGCAGTAATACTAAAACAAGTGGATCTTTACAATTTGTTAGTTTTACAGTAGCTTCATGTTTTTGTGTTGAAGCACAACAGGGCACCTGTCTCCTCTTTTCACTGTCTGCTTATACATTAGTTTGCATTTAATTAATCTCTGGCTCATTTTCACACTGTGTCTTTTGTCTTACCTCCTTATCCATCACCCCCAACTACTTTCAACAGATTACTGCCCCTGCTTGGGCCTACACGAGGTTTCTTTCTGTTAAAAGGGAGTTTTTACCTCCCATTGTCACCAAGTGCTTGCTCATAAGGTGGTCCTCTGAATGTTGAGGTTTCTCTGTATTTTTGTTAGGGTCTTTACCTTGAGGTGACTGCTGTTAGGACTTGACACTATATAAACAAAATTGAATTGAATATTAAATTATTATTTTTTTTTTACAATGGCGGGAAACTAGACCTTGTTAGAAAAATGGTACTTGATGTAGACACTGCCTGCATTTCCGGTAGGAACACGGGTAGTTCCTCAAATGGTCCTGAGTAAATGTTCTACTGATTACACCAGGTGAATGCAAGCTTTTTGTCTCTGTCTGCGCTGTAGTTATTCAACACTCCTTCTTTCACTGTCAGCAGCATGTCCACTTTGACCAGTCAGCTTTATAAGTTTTTGTGAACCTGTTGTCTGTTTCCACAGCGGTATGAGTCTACGGGAAATTAGTGAGAATCTGAAACTGGCCCGTGAATATGCCTTGCTGGGAAACTACAGCTCAGCCAGTGTTCTCTATCATGGGCTGCTTGAACAAATCAAAAAATATGTGTACACGTTGCGAGACAGCAGTTTCCAGCAGAGGTGGCAGCAGGTAAATGTAGTGCTGATCTTTTATCTGATCATATGAGGAGCCGGTCCCAATTTTTCTTATGCATGCACCTGTGGTTGTTTCTCAGCTGTGGCAGGAAATCATCGAAGAGAATCAACAAGTTCAGGACATAATGTCAACTCTGGGGAACTTTCAGTTGGACACAGCTCCTGTTAAACCCAGTAACCATGATGATTTTGAAATGAGACCTTTGCATGTGGAACAGAGGTACTGCACTGGCTATTTACATACACGTATTATTTTCTGCTTATTCGTTGCTTAGGAAATTTCATATGCTACAAATTCCGATGCTTCGTGAACAGATATCTGCTTCTGGTTTAATTCTGCAGTTTTCTGAACTGCAATTGTTGAATAAGCCAAGAACAATAGTCATGATGTAGTCATATGATTGAGATCAGTGAACCTCTGTAAGCCTCTGTGAGCTTGATTTGTTCCTGCTCTGCCCTCCAGAAAGATGGCTGGTAAACCTCAAACTGTATTTTTAACAACATAGTTTATATTATGTTGCTTGTATGCTTGTAACATATTTTTTTGGCCACATGCTCCATTTTGAACAACATTAGTGATTTAAAAAAAAAAAAGTATATATTTATTTTATCAAGGCCAGAAATTTCCGTTTTGGGATGAGAGCAGCTATCTGCCACAAACAGATTGTGGCAGATACTCCACCTTAAGCTTGGTTCTGCCAGAGGTCTCTTCCTGTTAAAAGGAAGTTATTCTACCATACCATCTCTGACTACTACTCACAGAGGATCATGTGATTTTTGTGGTTGTCTAAGAAGCTTGGAAAGAAAAGCGTCTGGACTTCTTGAAGTTTCTTGAAGACGTTTCACCTCTCATCTCATCATCTTCTCGGTTAAGAAGCTTAAAGAAGTCCAGACTCTTTCTTTCCAAGCTCCTTAGATTGCGATGACCTAGATGACTGAGAACCTTTACAGATTCTTGTGGTTCTTTCTCTAATATTGTATAATTTTATTTATACTGATGCTATACAGAATAAATTGCACTCCAACCACCCAGTTCAAGTGAGTTTTAAGTTATCTGGTAATTAGCAGACTGTATGTTTGTAACACAGATATCTGCACATCAGTGCTGTCTTATAAAATACTGGAATTTCATATTCATATAATATTTCATATTATTCGTCTTATTTGGCTACAGCTGCCTGTAACCATTTCACCCACAATACAGATTTTAGTTTTTTAGAGGAAAATTATGCAAAGAGACCAAATCTGTTTTTGTACAGTCTGTAAACATGCCTGTGCCAAAAAAAAAAAAGCCCAACAAAAAACTGTAACGTTGGCTGTTTAATGGGACTGTTTTTGGCATTTAAGGGCTTGTCTCATTTTTCATTCGCAGAGGTTGCCTTGAATCAAAATGAGAAGCAGATTGGACTGAGAGTCTGGAAAATTTAGGCTGCTAGTGCAAATGATGATGCTTAAAAAAACATGCTAGCTTATTATCATCATCACCGAGGACACTCTCACAAGAGATGCTTGATCTCAAGAGTTTTACTTCCTGGTTAAATAAATGTTTGTTTTTGTTTAGAGAAAAAAAAAAAAGAGTAGCATTAACTTCAAATGCAGGACGGTGTCTCAGTCTGTTTTTTTTTTTCCTTTGGCTTTTTGACTGTGTGCTGTGGCAGTTTGGTCTGGTCTTGCTAGTTTTAAATGAAAGATTATGATATTAAGCTCTTTAGTTGGCTATTGGCCGATAGAATAATCGGAGTGGTGTCAGATCAGTAATATTAGCACAATATTCAAGGGGGGGGAAAACAATCAATCATACGGTTCTGTCTGGTTTGTGCTCTAAGCACTAAGGCAACAGCTGATTCACAAAGAATGTAAATGTATCAATAATTCAACACCTGTTGACATTAAGGGGTTGCAGTTGATAGTCTTATCCCTGTTTTCTTCACAGACATTCTCCCTGTCCTGTCAGACGTCCTACCAACCCATACAAAGACAGCAAACCTGCAAACAACCGCCTGAGTGTGGCTGTGAAGGCCCAGCAGAGGCACCTGCCCCGAGGGGCCAACGGCGACAGAAGCAGACCTTCCAAGGGCAAAGAAAAGAAGGAACCAAAGGAGGCTGCTGGCAAAGCAAAGGACGATAAGGTGAGCGATATGTTGACCGTTCCAAGTTGCAGCACACATAGTCACAGCCTTCTCTATTATAATACCACATAACAAAAAGTCTTGCTGATCAAACAGTATCACATGCGGTCTGTTTACTCACTGCCTAGCCTGTCATTCCAGTTAGTTTTTTTTTCCCGAGGGTTTCGTTCAAGGAACTGGGAAGGGTTATTTTATTTTTATTTACTTATTTATGGTCTGCCTCTCAGAATAAATCAGATGTCCAGGAGAAAGAAGCAAAGAGGTTTGATGGGGCAGGATATGATAAAGACCTCGTGGAAGCTCTGGAGAGGGATATTATATCTCAAAATCCAAATATTAAATGGTAGGTGAACGCTTCAGATGCCTTGAATGACTAAGCTGTAGTCTTTGAGCTTTCCTCTGTTAGACAAACTGTAGTTTTTGGCATGTCTGCTTTGGCTTCACTTAATAGCCTTTTTGTCCTGTAGAGCAGCGGTCCCCAACCCCGGGCCTCGGACCGGTACCGGTCCGTGAGTCGTTTGGTGCCGGGCCGCGAGAGTTGAGGCTCAGGTGTGAAATGTATAGTTTTCAGGGTTTTTATAGGTTTTCAGCGTTATTTTGTTAACGTTTACTCTGTTTTCCTTGATCTTTTCACGTGTGTTATGAATAAATTTTCTTTTTTTCGGTACCAGTACTAGTTTTATTTTGTTGTATTTATCCGCGACATCTTAAAGGCCGGTCCATGAAAATATTGTCGGGCATAAACCGGTCCGTGGCGCAAAAAAGGTTGGGGACCGATGCTGTAGAGGTTTATCTATCTTTCTTGGCGTGAACACCAGCCTCCCTGAGTTTTCACATCTGACATCAGTCTAAACTGTTTTTATAGGGATGACATCGCAGACTTGGAAGATGCAAAAAAACTGCTGAAAGAAGCAGTTGTGTTGCCGATGTGGATGCCAGCGTTTTTTAAAGGAATAAGACGACCCTGGAAGGTAGTGTGCAAGCACAAGTTTGTTTCATCACTTGTATCACATGTGTCCTGTTACATAGACGTTATTTTCTTCTTTAGGGTGTGCTTATGGTGGGACCTCCTGGCACGGGGAAAACACTTCTGGCTAAAGCAGTCGCTACTGAATGTAGAACCACATTCTTCAATGTCTCCTCATCAACTCTGACCTCTAAGTACAGGGGAGAGTCTGAGAAACTAGTTCGCCTTCTCTTTGAAATGGTAAGTTCCGTTTTTGTCAGTTTTGTGTTTTTTGGTGTGCTTGAATGTTCTGAACTTAGTTTCTGTTGTCTGTAGTAGTATTTCCTTTAATTTTTCAGGACTGTAAGTTAGTTTTGGAGCCCTCTAGTGGTTGGAAATCACCTAATGCACCTTTATTTCATTAATAAATAATCATTAACTGAATAAAACGTGCTTTCATTTTAAGTTAAGTCATTTTTGTGAACCAATTATAACAATCTTTGTGTAAAGTTAAACAATTTCTTAGTATTAAAAATAATACACTTTTTTTTTTTTTTCCTTGAACTGAGTCATTGCATGTGTCCCCGTACAGGCACGTTTTTATGCTCCCACCACGATTTTCATTGATGAAATTGACTCAATGTGCAGCCGCAGAGGAACCTCAGAGGAGCATGAAGCTAGCAGGAGAGTAAAGGCAGAGCTACTTGTGCAAATGGATGGTATAGAACTTTTGTCTATTTCCTTTCATGCTAGATATATTTACCTTTTGATGGAGGCAGTTTTTTAATTTCTCTTCTTGTTGTTGTTTTTACACAGGTGTTGGTGGAGCATCAGAGAACGACGACCCATCAAAGATGGTGATGGTCCTGGCTGCAACCAACTTTCCATGGGACATTGACGAGGCTCTGAGGAGACGCCTGGAGAAGCGGATCTACATTCCTCTTCCTTCAAGTACAATTGTTGTTTTACTGATTTCCACATTGTAGGCAATGAAATGCAATTATTGAAAATGAAAACTGCCAACAACTCTAAACTCTGAAGTGTTGCATGTTTTAATAACTAATAACAGATCATAACAGATTGGATCATAACTGCTTGACTTGGTGACAAGCATCAGCTGCTCAGCCGCCACATTCCTCACATCCCACTGATTTGAAGCACAGTGCACAAAGCTGACAGCACATGCAGCTTTTTTAAAGCTACTTTCTGTTCTATGAAAACATTTATAACCATGCCAGAAGGCTGCCTGGTTCAGTGTCTGCTTTGTGTTAATTAAACTTGACAAATGTTGATTTAGAAATGTACAACATGGAATTACAGTCCCAACATAAATATTCTCAAGGAGGCCTAAATTGCTAACGATGCTGAGTAAATGATGACCTTCTTTCTTCGTGTAAATATTGCTGATGAAATGACCATTTACTGAAGCAGAAAGCATGATCTAGTTGCTGTTGGCCCTCTGTTTGCAGCTAAGGGGCGAGTGGAGCTGCTCAAGATTAACCTGAGGGAGCTGGAGCTGGCCAGCGACGTGGACTTGGACAAGATTGCTGAGCAGATGGAGGGTTACTCAGGAGCTGACATCACTAACGTGTGCAGGTCAGGGCATATTTCAAAATGAAGTTTAAAGAATACACTAAGCATAACTTCCAGATAACTGCTGATATTTACTGATGGCCCTGGTAGTTAAATGAACTGTAGTCTTGGTATTTGCAGTACCATATTTTCTGCACTATAAGGTGCACTTAAAATCCTTGAATTTTCAGAAAAATCAACAGTGCGCCTAATAATCCGGTTTGCTTGTGTATGAATTCTGGTTGTGCTTACTGACCTCGAACCAATTTTATGTGGTACACTGCGCTCAAAATCTGTCAAAAAAACATTTTAGTACGACTTTGGTAAGCTATGAAGCCGCACCGCTTGATGGATTGTTGGAGCATTACGGCTGCTGTAGTCAGGAGCCTCGCGGAGTAATCCAGGGTCCAAAACTCCGTCTGTTTCAGGTCCCAGAGTCAAACGAACACTGCATCATCGCTGAGAGTTAAAAACTGTCTAAATTCTTTCATCTTTAATAAAAGGATCAGCGTTGCAGCTTTACCAGGTGTAACAATTAAGTTTAACACCCAGGCATCCATGAAAACAGAATTTAGACAATTTAATGGAGTTAGCAGGAAGTTAGCTCGCTAGTTTCCACCTAAACGTGATATACCATGACTGAGAGATTTCTGAAAAAATTAAAATGTACAGCTCTGCAATCCCTTCCAACATAAATGAAGACAGAAAACTAAACAGCAGTGACTTTTGTAGGGTTACTGAAGTTGGACTATCTGGTATATAATGATGTGCTACGTGATCCCTTGCGACACAGCTATGTTAGCATAACATAAACACAGTGAAGCTGGAGGATGAACGCTAACTTTTTTTCCACTTGATAAAAGTTAACAAATGCATTCGCATGAAAGGATGCTGTAAACGGACTAAACTTCAGTCAGGAGAACAACTGAGATAATCAATCCAAGATACGAGGTTAGTCATTAATATACTGCAACAACATGGGGAATAGAGCAGCTGCGAGAGAATTCAACATTAATGAATGGAGGAAGCAAGAAGAATAAGTTGAGTAAAGTTTGACTTATCTGCCTGTTTTGTATCGCTTAATGCGCCTTATGTATGAAAACAGACCCGTTCATCGACAGTGCACCTTATAATCCGGTGCGCCTTATGGTCTGAAAAATATGGTACTTTGTTACATAAGATGTCTTGCAATTTGTCCGTGTTAGCAGTAAAACTAGTATTTGCTAACACTAACCAGATGAGAGATGTGATCACTCTGCTGATGCTTGCGAAGCTCCTGTTTGTTAGCTAATAATAAATTAGAGGCTAACGTGGACAAATTGTTGCTTCCTCGCTAATTCTAGGTTTCTTGTGTTCTAGACTGGCTAGCACATTCCTATGTGAAACCACATCGTTTTGTGAGTTTGTGTTAAAGTCTGCTGTGCTGGTAGCCATATGTGTTTGATGTTAGTTATTAGTGGACTGTTACGGTACTTTTTGGCTGTGTTGCTTGCTTTATAACACTTTCTTGGGGACTAAGAGAGACGCTGATGCAAGGGACTCTGCAACAAGAATAATCTCCACAGCTGGGTGCAATTTTGCAGTATGATAATGCACGCTGAAAACATTCACGAGTTTGGTTTCAATTTAACCTAACCTTCCCACCTAAAGGTTTGTATGTGATGAACAGTATTAAGTGAAATCTGACAAACCGTTGTTGTGTGTCGCGTAGGGACGCATCTCTGATGGCCATGAGGCGAAGGATCGAAGGCCTCACTCCAGAGGAGATCCGCAACATTTCCCGGGATGAGATGCACATGCCCACCACCATGGAGGACTTTGAGTCCGCTCTGAGGAAAGTGTCCAAATCAGTTTCTGCAGCTGACCTGGAAAAGTATGAAAAGTGGATCGAAGAGTTTGGCTCCTGCTGATGAAACATTAAGTGTGCAGCTTAGTGTAAGGTTTTGTGTTCCTGCTAACTGAAATGTTTTCTTGGATCTGAGAAATGTGTCAGCTCTGGTGTATTGAGCTGCAAGTACATTTCTGAATCAGCAGGCAGGTTTATTACAAAAGTAATTGCACTTGAAAAGTGGTAACTCTTCCTTTTGTACATGTTGTTGCTATGCAAACCTTTTCATCTCAGTGAGTGTCGAAAGAAGAACACGAGTAACTCGGAGCTGATTGTTGATACAATTCATTTTTGGACTTAATCATTTTAGATGGCTGGTCCTGAACATGTTGCCAAAATGTTCGACAAATCGGATATAGCTATTAGAAAAACTGACAAAACTGAGTCGGCATTTCCTGAAATACACTAATAGTAAAAGGCCAAACATGTTATATTATTAGTTTATTCTCAGTGTCGTTTTATTGTCTTTGTGCTGGTGTATCTGTTGGATACAGAACCAGCCAATCAAATGTTGTTCCCTTTATTGTTGTTCTTTTCACTTTGCACTTGATTTTATTTTAAACCGTATGGATCTATAACACTTTTTCTTATAAACATTAAACTAAGAAGCCATTTCTATATTGCGATA